AGCCAACAAAACCGAGAGAAGTGAGAGCACCATGAAGCTTGTCATACCAAGCCCGCGGAGCTTGTTTTAAACCATACAACGAACGATGCAAGTGACAGACATGAGATGGGTGAGCGGAATCTTCAAATCCAGGAGGTTGCTGCATAAAAACGGATTCATTGAGTGTCCCATGTAAGAAAGCATTGCTGACATCTAGTTGATTCAAGAACCAATCGAACTGAACAGCAAGAGTGAGGATGAGGCGAATGGTGACTGGCTTGGCTACCGGACTGAAGGTTTCGGTATAATCTAAACCTTCTTGCTGATTGAAGCCCTTGGCAACGAGCCAAGCTTTGTACCTGTCTATAGTGCCATCGGGCTTACGTTTGATGCGGAAGACCCATTTACAGCCAACAATATTTTGTGAGGGAGACGGGGGAATGAGAGACCAAGTTCCAGTTTTGATGAGAGCAGTAACCTCTTCTTGCATAGCTTGGGACCAATGAGGATATTTGGAAGCTTGGAGATAGGTGTTAGGGATGTAATCCACTGAGAGATGAGAAGGAAGATGGTGCTTAGTAGCAGTGAGAGCTTTGGGTTTGAAAATACCAGATTTGGACCGAGTTTGCATTGGATGGGTGTTAGAAGGTTGAAGAGAAGTGGAAGGAACGGAATCTGGAACAGTCATTACAGGACTGGAGGGAATAGGTGGGGAAGAGTGATGGGAGAAGGAGGATGGGAAAATGGAAGGGGAACGAGGGAAAGAGGGGGGAATACTAGAGGAAGAAGAAAGAGGAAAAGTAAAAGTAAGGGTTGATGGAAGAGAAGAGGGAGACCTAGGAGGCAGGGATGAGGGTGAAGGTGGTATGTTGGAGATATGATGGAAAGGAAAACTTGATTCATTGAAGATGACATGTCGGGAAATATATACTCGGTGAGTTGCAGGGTCAAGACATCTATAGCCCTTATGATTTAAACTGTATCCAAGAAAGACACAGGCTCTGCTTTTAGGATCCAGCTTCGAGGAAGTATAAGGCTTAAGCCAGGGGAAGCAAGCACAACCAAAAACCTTGAGAAGGTCATAATTCGGAGCTCGATGATATAGAGATTCCCAAGGAGACTGTCTGGATGCAGTAGGCAATCGGTTGATAAGATAGATGGCAGTGTTGAAAGCCTCTACCCAATAGATGTGGGGTACTTTGGAAGCTGTCAAAAGAGTGCGAGCAGTTTCAACCAAGTGACGATGCTTGCGCTCGGCACACCCATTTTGTTCGGGTGTGTGGGGGCAGGTAAGTTGATGATGAATGCCATGAGTAGCCAAGAATTGAGAGAAACTAGTGCTCAAGTACTCTCCTCCGGAATCAGATCTCAAAGTAACAATTTTGGTACACAGAGAATTTTCAACCAGAGATTTGTATTCCATAAAAGTGGACAGTACATCAGATTTGCATTTCAAAGGATAAAACCAGGAGTACCTAGTAAAGTCATCCACAAAAATGATGTAATACCGAAAACCTTGAGAAGAAGTTTGAGGAGAGGGTCCCCAAACATCCGTGTGGACAAGTTCTAGAGGTTTGCTAGTTGTACAAGAAGAGAATACAAAAGGAAGCTTGGAGCTTTTAGCCAATGCACAATCTGAGCAGAATGACTTAGTTACATGAGCTAAAACAGGAATACAAGATTGAGAAGCAAGTTTATGAAGAATCTTGACAGATGGGTGACCCAATCTTTGATGCCAAACATCCGTAGAAGCTTTGGCAGTGGCGGTGAGAGCCTTATGATTGCCAGTTGCAGATGAGGAAAAATGGAAAGGATAGAACCCTTGCTGAACAGGTCCTTTAAAACGCATCCTCCCCGAAGAAAGATCCTTCACAGTGAAGTGAGAGGGATAAAGATGCAAGGAACAGTGATTATCAAGTAAAAATTGATTTGCAGAGTGGAATAGGAGTTGGTCATGTGGGATGTTGCTCCAGAATCGACAATCCAAGTAGGATTGGATGAAGAAGCAGTAGCAACCATCGCTGCAGGAGAGGATTTTCCACCATAAGCCATATTGAGGCGATGCGGACAATCACACGCTTCATGATCAAGTTGATGACAAATCTGACAGGGATGTTTCTTGGTGTAGGAAGAAAAATTGTTTCGACCGCCACGATTAGAACGTGAATTATTGCCACGATTGGGAAAAGATCTCGGATTGTTAGAGGATCGGTAATTGCCACGATTGAAAGAACCGCGATTATGAGAGCGATCCACTCCACGACTTGGATGACTGAAGGTAGAAGGAGAATGAGCCACAAAAGCCTGAGAGTTAAGACTGGATACAGGAAGAGGAAGAATGCCAGCAGAAGTGTGAAGAGCCTGAAAAGAGGACATCTCAGAGATACTTTTCTTGCGAGTGGCTAATTGAATCTCCTTGCTAAGAAGCAAGCCATGTAATTCATCAATTGTTGTAGATCCGAGACGAAATTGAATAGCATCAACAAACGAATCATACTCAGGGGGAAGACCGTGGAGAGTGACAGAGATGAGATCGGAATCTTCAACCGGAGAGCCGGCACTGGCAAGAGCATCAGCAATTGCCTCAATTTGTAGGAGATACTGAGCAGCAGATGAAGTTCCTTTGGAAAGATTACGAAGTCGAGAGCGTAGCTCATGAATATGAGACTGAGAGGCCGTGGCAAGGCGAGATTCCAATTTCGCCCAAAGATCGCGAGCCGAATTCACACAAACAGTGTAGGGAATGAGGGAATCCGAGAGCGTGGAGTTGAGCCAGATGAGAATATTCTGGTCATTTTCATACCAAGAAACATAAGCAGGATTAAGAATGCGATTTCCTGAGGAATCAAGAAGAAATTGAACCGGCGCCGCCATAGATCCATCAATGTGATCAGTCAGATTGTATCGGCGAAAAATTGGAGCAAAGAGAGCACTCCAAGTCAAGTAATTGGTGGTGGTGAGCTTGATTGGCACCATGGATCCAATATTTTGGATTGTGATGGAGGTAGAAGTTGAAGAATTAGGGTTCGAAGATCCAGTCGGAAGGGGGTGAACTGGAGAGGCCGATTCTGATGAAGGAGATGCCATTGGCAAATAGATGAGGAAGAAAGAGAGCACGAACAACGATCTTCAACCACGAGCGAAGAATCGAGCAAGAACGCAGAAAGAAGAAGCAGGAGAAAGGAGGATCGAAGAACGAGAGTCGTTAGACAGAGAAGGCGATTGATACCATATTTGGTAAAATATATTTTCATTTCACACTTTAATAAAGTTACAGTTTAGGTGTATATATACAACAAACTAACATAGTATCTTAACCACTAAGCTAACAGCTAAGAAGATACATTTACAATATTACCCTTTATAGGTTTTGTATCTGTGTTACTGCTCTAATGAAATTAGTTTCACTATAAAAATGGTTCCTCCTTGGCAATGTCCTAATTGCTTAATTAATGTTTTTATTAATATGATTAAAAAAATCTTAGTCAAGCTTGCAGTATAACCCCAGCATCTTCCCTCTTTTCTTCACTCACATCGAACCCTTCCTTCTTGTCCTAAACATGGATTTATGAGGTACTACTAGGCCCAAACGCCATTACCACTAATTAATTATACAACACCTGCAAATTAAAGCAAAAATATGATAGATAAGACCTGATACAAGTAATAATGTCATAGAGTTGCAACTCCAAAGACCCAAATTAGATAGCGTAAGTTATTGAAGAGAGAGTCATGTTAGCATCATTTTCGTGTAGTCATGTGTAAGCGCGTGACGAAATGTCAACTACAAATGTGTTTACATGATCCAACAGTTGGCAGTTAGGACCAAACCACTAAAGTAAGCATGTTTTAATTGCGTCATGCAAAAATTACACGTCCACACAAGACTAACACTAGCAGTATGTGTCACCAGTCACACCATGTTTTATTTACAAGAAAAGCAAAGAAGAACAATTTACCTACAGACTTAATTTGATCTTATCCGTACATCCAAATGTAGGTGGAATCATACCATGCAGTGGTTAAACTAATCAATATGTATTACTGTGTAAACATATCACCATCTGCACAAAATTTAAAAGAAAGGTAAAGTGGCAGTTATATCATCCCATATTATTATTGTGAGTAATGGGTAACATCCAATTTCCTCTCATATATACCAGCCACGACATGGCCCAACATGTTCCCAGTACATTATTGTTCATCTCAAATTATTTAATTGGAACAAAAATTTAATGTCTTTTTTCACGACATTCAGTCATTCACACACAAAGTTCTCTAGCAAAAATGCGACCTATATTAGCAACAACGTAAGCTACATATGTTTTATTTTTTATTTTGGTTTCCTGCTAAACATTATAATGTTGACCTACACTGCCTTGGTTTGGTGAATTTGTTATTTGAAAATACAACTTATTTCTGTTCCCGAAATAAGTTCTCTAGCAAAAATACAAGATGTGTTCCCGAAACATCCAACCATTCACAAACAACGTACTTGTGGCAAAAAATTAGTATGACACCAGGGCGCATACAAATATTCATTCACATACGACCTACATTTGATTCAAAATTGGTATAATAACCAGCACATACATAATTTTCATTAACGTATGACATATTTGTGACCCAAAATTGAAATACTAATTAGCACATGCAAGGCTTTCATTCAAGTACGACGTATATATGAACCAGTATTAGTATACTAATCAGTGCATACAAACTTTCATTCACGTTCGACGTACGTATGAACCAAAATTGGTATAATAATCGGCGAATACAATGCTTTCATTAACATAAACCACGTGTACAAACTATAACTAGTAACAAATCGGCACATACAAACTTTTATTAACGTTGGTGGTACATACAATCATAAATTAGAATAATCAGAGCACATACAAAGCTTCCGTTCACGTACAACGTACCCAAAAACCAAAATGGTATGCCAGTATGTAATTATTTCTGAAATTTAAAATATGGTTGGCGCACACCCCTGAACTTCCATTTTTCCTCGAAATTTCCATGAGTAAAATACCGGCCCCAAGTCTTATCCAACGAAACCGAAAACAGAAAGAAACGGGGCTGGACCCTGTCGACGCGGCAACCTGAAACCCAACCCCACGCGACGGCCCCGTACAGAATCGAAGCTCCCGAAATTTAATTATTTAATTTTTTGCCCAAAAATGCAGGAAAAGTTTGCTAAGCTTTCCCTCGCATTTCTCGCACAGCATTTAAATGGACACATAATTTTTCCATTTATATGATTTTCGGGTGTTAATTTTTCGACTATATAATTTGGTTTTTAATTCTCCCAAAAACCCACTTTCTTGGACTCTGTCTTTATCGCTTCCTTTCTCTCTCCAACTCTCTTGGAGCAAAATGCAAATAGCAGCAGAAGTAGTACTGGGGGTGTCACCAATGGAGGGAGAGGAAAGCGTGTTCATCGACCTGTACACGAAGGACCCTGCTGAAAGCACAGGAAGCGGCGGCGAGGGGAAGGGAGCTGCGGCGGGGAAGGCCAGCTCCGCCTTCAAATTCGACCCCAGCTTTCTGATTGACCCGAGCTGCATCAAGATTGGTTCTGTGCTCGGAGAAGGGCGTGGAGCTATTGTTTATGAGGGATTGTGGGTCCCATTAACACTTTTCTTCTCTGTATCTGTTTGCTTTGTGTTATTTTTATCCTTGGGTTTTTTGCTTCTTGATTTAGGTTGCTCACATTGTTTGTATGTTCTTGAATTGTGGTGCTTTTTTCGGTGCTGGTTTGTTTGAGTTGGTGTTTGTGCTTTGCTTTGGTGTTTGAGTTGTGTTAGTCTTCAAAATCGGGGGGTTTTTTTTCTTTCGTTAAACCCTTTTGAGGGTTTATGATGATTTCTGGGTTTATGGTGGCAAGTGTTGATTTTTATTTCACTGAACACTATCTATATCAGGATTTCTTTTTCCATCCCTGGCAAAGGATCAAACTTGAAAAATTTCCGGCTTAGCGAATGTGGGAAGAGCCCTTTCAAAAAAAAAACCTTCATTTTTGCAGGTGAGCCAGATGCCGAGTCTACCTCTGCCAAGTTCCTCTTTCTGGGCGATCTTGGAGTTGTGGTTCTCATAATTGATAAACCCTTTTCAAGTTGAGAGTGCATCGTAGGTTTTTGAGTTGAAGTCTCTGCCATGGTACATTTGTCTTATAATGTTAATGTGGAATCATTTTGGATCTTCATTAAATTTTGAACTGGAGGGTTCCTTCAGGGAGTAATCTTATATCAATGTTTATTAGATTTTATTACGGTCTTTGAGAACACATATAAAGTATAGCATTGATGATAATCGTTACTGAGAGAGATCATCGGGCTTTAACTGCTTTCGATAAATGCTCCAAAGTCGATCTGATCACTCAGGATTTTGGAGTACATTTATTATTAAGCTTAGAAGGGATAAAGTTTTCGTAAATGTAGATTTGACTGATCGCGATTGTGAATGCTTCAAAATGGGATGTTGACATTCTGCATTTGGAGTCTATTCATTTTTAGGATGGATAGAAAATTTCATTATGATAGGTTCGGTTTAGTTGTAATTGTCCAATAGCGGGCGAGTCCTCCCATATTTGTCTGCAAGACATCAGGCTGTCACGACTAGTGAGTCTCATGTAAGATGAGTTCTTTAATGAATTACTCTAGCGATAGTACATTAGATAGGGAGATACGGAATTATGTGTGGTAGGTTGCAAATGGGAAATTATTGGTTATATATGGCAGGTAATCTCCCTGTTTTAATTTGGAGGCACTGCCCTCTTTATGTTTCAGTAGCCTGGGGATTGGGAGATAGGGTGGTGAGAGGGGGGGGGGGGGGGTCCTAGAAGCCATTGGTTCGATTGTCCCCTTAATCATTTAGATCATCCACATTGTTCCTTTGCTCCTCTGGATCGTTAAACTTTTTTTCGTTTAATTCTTTGGATCACCTGATTACTAGGGTACACCTGAGCATATACAGTGGAACTGTTTAAACATAGATCCTTTTTTGTATTTTTCTTTCTCACATTTGAACTCCTCGGATAAAAACGTTTTCTTACCTCTTCATGAGCTTATCATCGTTTGGCTCGGTGGTCTTCAAGGATGTAATAATCAGTTAAGGAGACCAGATTACCGTTGGTTTTTTAAGTTTAGATATAAAAATTAGTAAAGAAACCAACAGTTTTAGGAACGTCAAGGACAGAGAGAATTATAGTCTGATATTTGGACTTGGTTGATGTGATATCAGTTGAGACCAGATTATTCTTTACAGTATCAGATTTAGATATAAAGACATGTTGGAGAATCAACAGGTTTAGGGCAAGTCTTCTGAACAGGTGGAAAATGAGAGAGGGTCGAAGAGAATTGGGAAGTGTAGTGTTTGCAAGGTTATTGTAATTTATGCATGAAAAGACAATTATATAGCTGTCAGGGTAATTATTTTGAATCATATAAGTGAAGTTGCCCTACGTTGATCGGAATGTAAAAGAAGGATATCTTTAGATGTTTTTTCCTTGTCCAGGCCTTTTCAAAGATTCATTGACATGGTTTATTTCCTAGTTATCCTATTTATTATACCTGAAGGTTAATTCCTGGGCAAGCAAGCAGTCCGGCGTAGATGTCATTTACAGAAACTTTATCCCTTTGTTGCTATGCATGAAAAGCATTAATGATCAATGGCAACATTAGATGTTTGTGGCAGGATTAATTTTGTGAAATCTATTAATGTGAGATGACATCTTACTTGTATACTAAATGTAATAAATCGATCATATGTTCTTTTTGTGTATATAAGTCATAATCTATGTGTTGTTCTATGCTGAGGAATTTTATGTCCTGGATTTTAGACTGCTGAAGCTTTCGAAATTATGTTTCTAGGTACCAATCCAAGCCTGTTGCTGTAAAAATTATACGGCCACCCAAAACAAAATATGTTAGTCTTGATCGTCAAGAAAAGTTTCATCGGGAAGTGTCAATGCTTTCGAAGGTGAAGCATGACAATATTGTCAAGGTATGATGCCCATTCCTCTTATTTCTTCTTATGCCTGCATTGTATATTAATATATTATCTACCCTCGTCATTTCTGGGAAATCACTCTCCCTTTTGCAAGGGACTTTTCTTTTGTTTGGTATGAGTTCTATACTATTCTTAGTTTTGGTTTAGAATAATATCCTTACGCAAATTGACCTTTGGTTTCAAGAAATATATTTCTTCAATTTATATCCAGGTCAGATGAAATTGTGGCCTGAGGAAATGAAATCACTGCGCTTCTGTTCCTAAATTAGTATTCAATTTACGATCCTGTTAAGTTCAGCAAGCTGGTTGCACAAATAATTTAAACTATGATGGATGTAGCTCCATTTAAGGAATAAGATTATAAGTTTTTGGTTTTTATCTTTCAGTTTTACTATCCTTCACCCTCTAAATGTATCTAGATTCGTATCAGCGTAATGTATTCAATCAGTTTATAATACTCATTTTTCTGATGTGTATATTTTCATGGTCAATGCCCCTGGTGCATATACTCATAAAAGTAAATGCTCTGAAACAGTTCGTAGGCGCATGCTTTGAACCTTCGATGATAATTCTTACTGAGCTTCTGAGAGGAGGTAACCTCCAGAAGTACCTATGGGAAAGGCGCCCCGGAACACCTGATCTCAAGTGTTCAATAAGTTTTGCAATGGATGTCTGTCGAGCTATGGAATACTTGCATGCAAATGGCATTATCCACCGTGACCTGAAACCAGGTTATTTTTCATTTTCCTTGTACTTCCCCTTTGTTCAAGTTGTTTTAGTTTACTTTGAAAAGAGGACCAACTGATCAGGCGTTTGGCTTGGCTACATGTCCCACTTATAAGTTATAACTGTAAATGAGTTCATTTGTTGATCCACAAAAACATTTACTCATTTTTAGTTGAACATTTGCTAGAAATGCATTGGTAAATTCATCGTGTTTTCTTTTGGTTTTGCATACTCATCTCAGTTCTAATTCTTGAACGTTAGGGTTGAAACATCATTTACCAGAGGAATTTAGTTCTAACTGATACTCTTCTTTTTTTCCCCAGCCAACCTGCTTCTTACAGAAGACCTGAACATGATAAAGGTGGCCGACTTCGGCCACGCTAGAGAAGAAATATCCGGGGCCATGACCTCGGAGGCGGGCACTTACAGATGGATGGCTCCTGAGGTGCACTTTTTTTTGTTGTTCTTCCTTCATTATTCATGCATATACTGCAAAATACACACACACACACACACGTAATCGCACACACATATGTATATTCATAATATGGCTAATTTTTTTTCTTATTATCTGAATAGCTATTCAGCACAGAGCCAGTTCCAAAAGGATCAAAGAAGGAATACGATCACAAGGCTGACGTGTACAGCTTCTCGATAGTTCTATGGGAACTGATAATAAACCAAACTCCTTTCTCCGGACGGACTAATATAATAGTTGCATATGCAGCAGCGAACGTAAGTCCTACGAATGACATTCAAACAGAAACAGATAGAACAGAAACCCGAAAATCTATCCAATAGCTATTTTATGGTGCTTGATTATTTTGAGCTGCCCTGAGATTACTAACAACATTGTATGCTAGCTGACGTTTTGGATTGAAATTTTATTGAGATTGAGTTTGATTTTTCTGGGGATGGACTGAGTGTAACATGAAAAAACTATTTTCTGAAGTTAAATGACTGTTGGTGGATGACTTCCCTTCGTGCTTTCAGAAAATACGGCCAGAGCTGGACTACATTCCTCAAGATCTCATTCCGCTCCTGGAGTCCTGTTGGGCTGACGACCCAAAGATCCGACCTGAGTTCATGGAGATCACAAGCCATCTTTCCAACTACCACAAACAACTGTGTGCGGCTGAGTTGGAACCTCCAGCAGTCAATGTGCCGGAATCTGAACCTCAAGAGAGCAACGTGAAGGAAGAAGAGCCTCCCAGAGTCCACGCGATTGACAAGTCCGAAAAGAAAAAGAAAGTTAAAAGGCGAAAGAAGTGCAGATCAAGTTTCTTCTTCTTTTGCTGTCGACCTGTAGCGGTGCAGGAGTGATCAGTTATTTGCTAAAGTTTTGTAGGATACACAGTAGAACCACAGGTACAGAGATTAGGGTAGACACAGCCAGGGATTCTGAGCTGAACTGTTGCTTGTAACTTGTGTTACAAGCAACTGTACAGATACATCGTGGTAGGAACCCCGTAGAATATTGTTAGATGGAGAGTAGGATACAAAGCTTTGAAAGAAACAAAAAGAAGTTTGTAGTTGTTTTAGCAGTTGGATATTTCTCCGAAGCTGGCTTGCTTCTCAAGCAATATCAGATTTTGGTAATGAATTGTTAATGTGATCAGTCACAGTGACTCTTCTTTTCTGATGGTTGAATTGCTGGTTATGATGAAATTATTTCACTTTCTTGTCGGTGTCCAAATTTTGGGTGTAAAGTAGGGTTTCAGATAAGGATTTTGTTTCCCTTTTTTTGTGGGCGGCTTAGTGGTCTTATCTTATATGTTGACTAACTCATGACATGATTCACATCATTGTGAATTTTGTAAAGACCTATTTTGGGCGTCCAAATGACTTAAGAGTTCAAAATGTTTTCAGAAGTAGACTCTAAGGTAAAGAAGATACACAAGCGTTTGCACGTATTTAGTGTTTGTGCATGATACGAACATGGTAGATAAAATATCATGTATGGTATAAAAACAGAAAGATAGTGTATCGTGCATGGTATGTATTGTATGGAAGTAGAAAGATAAGTATTGTGAATGGTACGGAAAAAAAAAAAAGGAGTGTCAAATTCGTAATTAGAATGTTATCCTAATAGGCTACACACCGTGTGGCGTGCTAAAATGTTGAGGATGGATTAAATTGCAAGTTACTGCTCTGGAATGGGCTAGAATATAATGACCTATTTCTAGGCTTAACCCTAGTTCCAGATATAGAAGTGGCTTTGAATTCAAGAATCCAACTCAAAATCCAAATTGGGGGGCCATTTTGAAACCGACCCAACAATTGACTTCAGAAAACGTGTGCGTTGGGACTAGAAAGTCCCTAACACTTGGTGACAACCCTAGCCTTGAAAACCTCTATTCCTTCGGTTTTCTAATTTTGTTTAAATTTTTCCTCTCTCTGCCTTGGTGACAACCCTAGCCTTGAAAACCTCCAGCTGCCGATCTCTTGCTTAGGCTTGGGCCAGCGGCAGCCCCTCCCACCTCTCTCTAGCTCCCCCTCCTAGTCTCTCCACCTCTTGCTTCCACTCCCCTCCTTTGCTGCAACCCACTCATTTCCCTTCCATCCACACCCCGACCCCTTCCCCTTGTTGCTCTCTTTTCCTTCCATTTTCCTTGGTCTGAACAGAACTTTTCCCCCGCACTCTTCTATGCGCAACCTGTTTCTCTTGGTGTCGTAGCGAGCCTTCGACCCACTTCCCCAATTTATTGCAGCACATGCTCCTGTTTGGGCCTTAGATATAGGATTTTGGGTGGGTTTTGGTTTGTTTCGTGGTTTTGCCTTGCTTTTCGATTGTTTTGCTCTTCTGGCCTGGATGGTGGTGTTCGTGTAGCTCCTATTAGAGTATATAGCCAAATAGATAAGGTAGTTAAGATTGTTGCTGTTATAATATTCATTTAGGATTGTTGCTAAGTGTTAGATTCAGATAAGGTAGTTAGTTGAGTATTCACCTATATAACAATTGTATCATTGTAACCAGATAATCATTTTCAAGAAAATACAAGTGAAAATTCATTCTCTTTCTCTCTCTCTCTCTCTGTGTCTAAACCTTCTCTGTTTTCTCCTTCTTCTTCTGCAATCTCCTTGTTCTCTTTTCTACATATTGCTTGACATGGTATCAAGAGCCATTAAAGCTTGATCAGCTTCTTCGATCTTTCCTTTTTCCTTTCGCTACATGAAATTCTTTCTTTTTCTATCTTGTGGGTGTATCAAGATTACCCAGTTCTTTATTCTTCGTTTTGAAAGATTGTGCACGCCAGGTGTTTAAGTCTTTTCCTCAGACAGATTTCTCTACAATTTTTCGAAAGGGTAACTACGAATCAACTTCAAATCTTGCAATCACTGATCACTGGATTGATTTCATCCGTTTCGACGTCTGTTACTATGAAACTGAATGAGACCAACTATCTACAACGACGTTTTCAGATGCAGTTGATGCTTGAAGTCCATGGAATTATGGGGTTCGTTGACGGATCAAATCTCTGTCTTGCTCAGTTTTCTTTTACTTCTTCAGGAGATTTAGAGGTAACATTTGGTACTTCATCTTCAAGAATTGAAATCGATGAGTACAAAGTATGGAAAATGCATGATCATTCCTTGATGTTGTTAATTACTGCCACACTTTCTTCATCTGCTATTTCCTGTATGATGGGTAGCAAGAGTTCTCAAGAGATGTGGGTTCGTCTTCAAAACCAGTTTTTCTTAAGTACAAAAACCAGTATAATCAAATTACAGATTGATCTTTACAACATTAAGAAGGGATCAAATTCAATTTCCCAGTATCTTCAAAGAATTAAAGAAGCAAGGGATGAACTTTCTATTCTTGGTGTCACACTTGCTGATGAAGACTTTGTGATCATTGCATTGAATGGACTCCCTCCAAAATACAACACATTTAAATGTGTACTCAAAGGGCGTGAGAGTATCATTTCACTCAAGGACTTTCGTGCACAATTGCTCGCTGAGGAAGCCATTGTGAATTGTGCTATTGTTGAATGTGAGACAAAAAGTTCTTTCTTTCCTCTCTTTAGCTCTCAATTTCATGTTGGCTTCAGTGGTGATTATCATGCTCAATCCAATTTTAGGTCAAGCTATGGTAATAATGTCGATAGTTATAATGGAATTCTTAGCTCACCTCCATCTCTATATCCTAGTTCTCTGGCACCTGAAATTACTACACATCAAATTTGTTCATAGAAAGATCATTTTGATGTTGATTGTCTCTCAGCTTCTAGTAATGTAGTTTTGGGATTTGTTGGATATCCAAATGTGGGAAACAGCTTATCTGAGTAGTATAAATCAAGGGAGACTTTAGATGCGGTCCCTAGTTATGAACAATTTTTGACTGAAACCTTGTTGTTTTTCAATTTTTGATCCAAGTCCCTAAAATTAATTGATAATTTATTTCTATGTACGTTACTATATTTTTTAAATTAAAAATTAAAATTTATAGTTGTTTATAGTAATGATATTTTAAATAAAAAACCATAAATTGTGGGATTAAAAATATTAAAATATAAATATACTATTGTGTGTGTGTGTGTGTAAACATGGGTACATTCATAAAAAATAACCAAAAAATTATTGTATCAAAACATGGGTACATTCTTCAAAATGGGTACATTTAGCAAAAATAAAAATGGGTACAAATAAATAAAAAAATATGGGTACAATACAAATAAAACTTTAAAAAATATGGGCACAAAAAGAAATTAATATATGGGTACAAATTAAAATTGAAAGGAAAATTGGTACAAATTAAAAAAGGGTTGCAAATTAAAAATGGGTACAAACTAAAAATAAAAATATATGATAAAAAATTTAGCTATAAATATAAATATACTAATTGTAACATTTTTAATATTAAATGAATATATTTAGAAATAAAAAATATTTTATTATTGAAATAATTAATGATATTATTAATACAAAGGACCTTGATCAAAAATTGAAAAGTAATAAGGTTTTAATCAATAGAGTAGTAAAAATAAGGATGAAAACCTAATTACTCCATAAATCAAACTCATCTGAGAATGAACACCCTGTAGATGATGAAGGTGAAGATGAGCCAGAACTTGATCATGTCCTGGTAGACCTCAATTCATTTGACTTATCTAATAAGTTGGCTACCATGAAGAAAGTCACCGTCAGAAAGCCCACTGCGCCCCATAAACAACACAAAAATCATGAAACTCCTTTACAGAGCAATTCTAATGTTGAAATTCATACAGCTTATGATCGCCAGTCTGGTTTTCTCTCTCACTTCATTGTTTCAGAAGATGAAATGTGTTTAGATGATGCAGAAAAACAAGTTTTGGAATGTATTGACAAGGAAAGTGTAGACTCTCAGTTGATTTCAGTGGGTTTACAATTGTGTATTCAAGTGATATTTCCAGTTGTTAACTCTGACAACAAGGCAAAAATTGGTGTTCATACTCAAACTGTTATACATGAGTTCCGAGGATTTTATGTACTTCGATTATGCAAAGGTGGAAGTATATTTGATATTCAGTTAGGCTACCATATGAGAATTTCTGATAAGGGTGGGGGCACCAAGTCTACGCTAATTTGGATACTATGGTATACACGATATAATGGTAAAATACAAGCTCCAGATGTTTAGAGATCTCTTATTGTAGAGTATATGTGCAACAGTGACCAAATACTCCACTATCCAACTGCAAGGAATACTATCCAAAAAGAGTTTAGATTGCCAGATACTCTTCAACTGCAACAATCTCATGATTGGACCACCATGAGCTTCCGGGGGGATGTTAGAGTTGGCCAAATAGATAAGGCAGTTAGGATTGTTGATGTTATAATATTCAGTTAGGATTGTTGCTAAGTGTTAGATTCAGATAAGGCAATTAGCTAAGTATTCACCTATATAGCAACTGTATCCTTGTAACCAGATAATCATTTTCAAGAAAATACAAGTGAAAATTCATTCTCTTTATCTTTCTCTTTCTGAACCTTCTCTGTTTTCTCCTTCTTCTTCTGCAATCTCTCTGTTCTCTTTTATGCATATTGCTTGACAATTCCTGGGTGGGGTTTGCACTTGGAGTTTCCCGGTTATGGCTTCCTAGGCACCGCCGTGGTAGGTTGCATATTTTCCAGCTGTTTTCTATCGGTTGTTTAGACATCTAAGGGCTTTGCCCTTGGAAATATCGTTGTGTCATCTTTGGGTTCGTGGTGGTGGTGGGGATGGCAGTTTAGTAGAGTGGGTGGTCTTGGATTTCCCTTTTCCATCCATGTCGCTGCTGCTTTTTCTTGCCATTACTATGACCAACTCCGGTCGGAGGTATCGTTGGCGGCTCTTGGTACTTTCATGTTGGGTTTTGGTTTATGGTGGAATTTCCAACGACTGTGGTGGCTCTGGCTGGATTCCTTTCCGCCCTACCTCTCTATGTTCGTCTTGGCTTTTGCTGGCCTCGTACACCTCCCGACATTTCTGAATGTGCCTCTGCCTATGCTCCCCACGCCTACTGCCAACAACTGCACCTTTATTGTGGACACGTCACCTTGTTTTTTACTAGTATGTGTTGCTTCGGCAATCGATTTTGTGTTGCTTCTGTGATTTTGTAACCTCGCTGTTTCGTGTGGGTTTTGGTGAGGGTCTCAGAACTTGTTATGTCACTCATGGGACATTTCTTTCTCGGGACTACTTGTTCGTTGTAGTGGTGTATTCTTTGTAGGATC